CCCATTGCCATTTCCGCAAAGGAGAGGGGTCTTCCGTCGCAACACGAGCATATCGGAGCCCCTCCCAATAATTTTGGCGCCCGCACTTGTTTCAATTTGGTCTGTTTTCTCGTTGGATAATCAAAATACAAACGATGAGGCCGGAGAAAGTGCAGGAATACAGCAACTTGTCGTCGAGAGTTACCCTGCTTTTGCTTTTTATTTTTATTTTTTGCCCTCCGATATCATCGTAGTCACTTCGAAACTGCGCGCGCGCTCTCTCGGCCCCTTTCACTTCCGCCGGAAACACACATGGTCAGCTTCCTCTCGGCTGCTCCGGACAAGAAGTACCAAAAGAACGTCCATAGCTTCAGCTGGCTACACGGGTGGGGCGAAAGGTTCTGCCGGTTCCATCGACGAGCCGAAGCGGGGACAGTCAGCCGGCAGCCGCTTCGACTCGCCCCCGAAACGAAAGAATAAGTGGCCAGGTGGGTACGGACGGAAAGACCCAGGCGCAGGAGAGTAGGCAGTAGGCAGGCCCCTTTTCGGGCGGGACACGGGCACGGGACAGAGACACAAGACGGAAGTCGGCAGTCGTCGGCTTTCTCTGGCGCGGGTCACATCTCTTCATAACAGCGCCCAGGTTCTCTAGCAAAGGTAGGCTCGCTCAACGGCTTTCGTAGGATTAGTACACGCTATACTCCCGGTGAATCTACTCCATTACTCGAGGTGGTCTAAGTAATGGACTAGATTCACCCAGAGTGTACAGAGCAAAAACCCCAAACAAGGGGGGGGGGGGACTATCACTAGAAGCTGGAGGGCTCTTTAGACAATCCCCAAGACCGTCTCTACCAGAAGGCAAAGCCCCCCCCCCCCCATCCCTCTCCACTCCTCCTCGCTATCTACAGCCTGATCGAGGGGACTGTCGATTACAGTATTTCTTTTTCGCGTTGACGCGAGCAAGTGTACACTTCTAACGAGCGCCCACTCTGTGTTGCAGCCATCTCAACATGGACCCACCCCGGCAGCCGACGTCCCTGAAGAAAGTAAAATGTCCCGCTTGTTCCAAGGCATTCCGGTACAGAAGTCAGCTCAGTATGCACATGAGGACGCACACTGGCGAGCGGCCCTTCCAGTGCACTGTGTGCCAGAAGGCATTCACACACGAAGTTGCCTTGACCCTGCACGTCCGGAGTGTACACCAAAATGATAAGACGTTCAGATGTGCATTTTGTGCGAAATGGTTCGGGCAGGCTACTCACCTTGTGATACACCTCCGAACGCACACGGGCGAGAAGCCCTGCAAGTGTTCGCACTGCCCGAAAGCGTTCGCCGACCCCAGCGCCCTGAGGGTTCACCTTAGGTTCCACACCGGCGAACGGCCGTTCAAGTGCACGCTCTGCGACAAGACCTTCCACCTGGGGCACCACCTTAGGCACCACATCCGGACGCACACCGGCGAGAAGCCCTGCAAGTGCGAGCACTGCCCCATGGCCTTCGCCGACCCGGCCGCCCTCGCCCGCCACAAGACGATCCACCAAGAGGTAAAAGGGTTGAAGTGCACCGTGTGCCAAAAGGAGTTCAGGCTGGTCGCCGACATGAACAAGCACCTCAAGAACCACACTGGCGAGAAGCCGCACCAGTGCACGGTCTGCAGGAAGCGGTTCAAGAGCGGGTGTGCCCTCAAAGAGCACCTGTTCTACCACCACGCCGACAGTGGTCCCTACGAGTGCAGCCGCTGTCATAAGTTCTTTCGGTTCCCGAGCCACCTCATCAGCCACCTCGCCCAACACGTTTGCACTCCGCCCTTCGGGTGCCCGCTGTGCCACAAACCCCAGGGCGACAAGCGCGTCCTGTACCACCACCTCAAGGAGCACGTCCCCCTCAAGGCCGAGCAGCCGCCGTACCAAACACAGCCACCTCCGACCCCTTTCCTCTGCACCGAGTGCGGCGGGACGTTCCGGAGGCGCGAGCGGCTCCTGCAGCACCTGTGGACTCACATCCGGGCGGGGCGGGGCCGCGGCGGGCAGTGAGGCCGGAGACATACATCGATGAGTGTAGATTTTGTAATTCTAAGAGGAAACTCGGTGTAAAATTTCGATTTCACAAGTTCATAAGTAAATTTTATTATGAAGATGTTTAACCCATTGAAATGTGTGACACTGCAATGATTTATTCCGAAATAAATAAACAAATTTCAGTACAACCAAGCAATATGCAAATTAATGTAGGACCTGATAATGATTTCTACACGACGTGGTCTTTTGGCGAACGGCCCTTCTTTGGTAATCTAAGTGAACTTAAAATACGAGTTCTTCTTGTCGGCAAAAGAAAAACCCCTCGTACATTGTTGCCATTTGAAAGATTGGCGCGCTCCCACCCAAAATCCCGGGCCATACCCATCACCGTGCCGGGGGTGGGGGGGGGGGCGGAGCTGTGTAGACAGCGCCAGTATACCAGTACGCGGGGAGGAGTCAGGTACACGACGCCACGACGCAGGTACCCGGCGTTTCGGTGGGGAGGGGGAGGGGGGAGTCTGCAGTATGCTCGACGCCGGTCCCTCCCAAGCTCACACTCGTCACACTTGGGACGGGACTACCCCTGGTCCCTGGTGTAGTACCAAGTACCCCACCCCACGCACGGGGCAGTTTCAGTTTCGCCACGGGTGCCGCTCTGCTGGCCGCTGGTCGCACGGAGCGCAGGCAGGACTCACTTGACGCAGGGGCCCAGCTCACCTGCCGCCGCCAGCACCGCCAGGCAGCTGCAGCTATTGACGACGCATTCCGCGTCTTCTTGGACAGTCCAGCCGGCCGGCCGCCAGGTAAGCAGGTGAACTTAGTGAAGTAAGAACAACGTCCCGTGCCATTGTGTTTGTAAAGCACTAACTCGCGCCAGTTTGTACTCTCTCAGGTTCGAGTAAAATGGAGAATTCGAATCATTCCGGAGCCACGCCTAACAAGAATGCATGCTCCGTCTGCCCAAAGACGTTCCGTGAAAGAAGTGACCTAAAGGTCCACATGAGGACGCACACTGGCGAGCGGCCCTTCCAGTGCACCGAGTGCCTAAAGGCATTCACACAGGAAGGTGCCTTGAACTTGCACGTCCGGACAGTACATTTAAATGAAAAGACCTTCAGATGTGCATTTTGTGCAAAATGGTTCGGGCAGGCTGGGGCCCTTAAGTTGCACCTCCGAACGCACACGGGCGAGAAGCCCTGCAAGTGTTCGCACTGCCCGAAAGCGTTCGCCGACCCCAGCGCCCTGAGGGTTCACCT